GACTCCCCAAAATTTAATAAAAATGAATAGAGAGGAGCAAAGCGAATCCTGTCTGTAAAAGAGCATGAGTAAAAATACACATATAAATAAAGGGTGAAAGAAGTGACAACATATCATTTGGTGACAGTAACAAATTTAACAAATAGAGTTACTTATGTGAGGCAGCGTGGTGGAATCAGGCTCTCATCAAAATAATCAAAGTGAAGATACTTGCATTTTTCCGCAGGTTTGTGAATTTTAATCAAATTTTTGTTTTTGGGCTCAACACCTTTTATGGCCATTAAAGAACTCATTTCTGTGTGTATTTTACTGAAAAACGTTGATTAAAGGCACAAAAGATATACATTTTCAGTTATTACGGACTCTTATGCTAAAGAAATAACTAATTTTTTCAGCCATTTTCTCACTAATTTTACCTCTGAAAACAGGTGACCACCCCACCTCCTTCATTTGCAAATATCTCGACTTGTATTTAAGATAAACGGATATTTTTTTCATCCAAATAAAGACAAGTGAACAAGCTTTATTAAGATGATACCACTCTATGTGCCCAAAAATTGACGAGAGCCTGATTCCACCACGCTGCCTCACATATAGAGATCAAAAGAAAAAAAAGTAATTTACCCTTCACGTCTCTTGCTGCAGTCAGTGAGACAGGCAAAGACGTAAAGTAGGCGATGGTAGGGGGAGCCACCCAGGGGGCAGTACAGCTGAGTGACCAGACTACTGGGACGACCACACAGTCGGCAGTTGGGGATCTGTCGAGACGGGCCTTCAGTCAGCCAGGACTGAGCAGAGGAAAGTCATGAACACAATGAGAAAAAGTAATTGGGTTATCATTTTACTATCACCCCTGCCTCACCGGGTAGGCCCGCTGAACATCACTTTTTTGTCTTGCATATATATTTTTTAAAATCCATCCTTTGAAAATCAATAGTTTTTTAGATATTTGTTTAAAAAAAACAACTATTTTAATACAAACGATAATTTAATTTAATATAATATTACTAATTAGTCAAACCTGTTTAAGATGGCCATGCATTGTCAAGGAAAAATAAAAAAAGTGTCCGTATAAGAAATAGCTGTCAAACACTGGACTGAACAAAATAAAGAAAACAAACCATTTACTTCAGAGCTCCCAACTGGAGGTGGTCGCAGGTTTTAGGGCTGCTGCAGGGGTCACTAAAATATTTTTTCCTCTTTTGGAAAGGGAGACGGGGGGAGGGGGAGAGGGGATGACTGTTTTGTGGGACTTTTGTAATAAATTCCTTCTTATTCTTTTTCAAAATTATGGTTCCGCGAAATGACCTCCAAATAGTAACGGAACCACCTTCGAGAGAATAAATTGCTGTGGTCCTGACCATATTCACCAGATGCCCGTAAGGTAGATAAAGATACATCAGTAGAAATTCTCTCTGTCTATGCTCTATTTGAAAAGGCTTCGCAAGAGAAGGAAATACCATCAAACTGGAAGGGAGGCCATCCTTCAAGCTGCCAAAGAAGGGAGACCTCAGTAATGTAACAACTACAGAGGCAAAAACAGTCCTGCCAATACCTGGGAGTCTTTTTAACAGGTCCTGGAGAGAATCAAGCTGGCAACAAACTAGGTGAGACGCTCCGAGGAAACCAAGCAGGATTCCGACCACCTGTGGTCAACTTCATTGATTATGAAAAGCATTGATTGACAGAGTGGACAGGGACACTCTGTGGAAACTCATGCGGCATTGTGGAATACTTGACAAAATAGTCAAGCTTGAGAAGGCCACCTGTCCTATGATGGAACAAACTGCCAAGTCTCCCATGAAGGACAACTCTCAGAACCATTCCAGGAACAGACAGGAGCACGACAAGGATGCTTGCTCTCAACTTTGCTCTTCATACTGGCAATTGACTGGATCATGAAAGAAGCCACCAGAGGCAAGCGGGGAAGGAATACATTGGACCTCTTGGGGCAGCTGGACTTTGCCGATGACCTCTCACACACATGCTCATCAGCGGAGGCAAAAAAAAAGACCAAGGAGCTCAACAGCCTACTAGATCTAGATAGGCTCTAAATCTAGATCTATGTTTTCTTATGCCCATTACTACTCTAATACTTCTACTATTAACTAGATTTAGATCTAGATCTAGATCTAGCACCAGCTGCTAGACTCTACTCTAGATCTAGATCTAGATCTAGAATCTAGAAATCTAGTACTCATCACAAGTATCGAGGCAAGGTCACTGATCAGGATTTAATTTGCCAACGTAGAATTCCTAGCTTTCTAGAATCTAGATCTAGATCTAGATATCTAGATTTCTAGATTCTAAATATGTTTTTTTGAAATTTATTAAGACAAATGAAAATATTTTTATTTTAAAAATTTAATTCAACCCACCGGAGTTCCACCAATCTTGTTGACATCCCAGCTCACTGTGTCAGACGCTCCGATTATCTGATCCACTAATCCAATTAATACTGACATAGTTAATACAGTGACTGAATCAACGGGAGGACTTCCGAATCAACTAAGACAGAGGACTGCTGTTGCTTCGAACTGCTAGTGTGGGTTGTGGTTGTAGGCCTACGCGTACATTAGGCCAACCATGCTCAATGCTCATCCAGTCATCCAGAAAAGAAAACGAAATCGAAACAGGAAGTTCAACAACGTCCAGAAATTATTTTGTTCTCTAAAATAGAAGATTG